GTTAACAGGCCTGGGGGAAGGAAAACAGTACACAATGAACAGAGGGGAGTGTCAGTAGAGAGATGGAAACTATAATAAAGAGCCAAATGGAAATGATAGAAATACGATAAACACAATTATCAGGGATGAAGAAGTCCTTTAGTGGGCCCTTAAGCAGATTCCACACAAATGAGGAAAGAATTAATTAATCTGAAGACGGGTCAACAGAAATGACCCAAGTGAAACAAAGAAAAAGCGGGAGGAAGCAGAACAGAGCATCCAGGAGCTTCCGAATGATCTCAGTCTAGCACTTTGGAATAAAGAGAAAGAAAGAATGAGGCAGGAAAAAGATTTGAAGAGATATGGTCCAAAGTTTTCCAAAAATAAAAGACAATAAATCAGCGGTCCAAGAAGCTTTAAAATTGAGACACATATGCACTTTTGGCGTAGTGATAAAGAACCCACCTGATAATGCAAGAGAAGTAAGTAACACAGGTTTGATCCCTGGGTCGGGAAGATCCCCTGAAGAAGGAATGGCAACCCACTCCAGTATTCTTGCCTGGAGAATCCCAGGATTCATGGACAGAGGAGCCTGGCAGGTTACAGTCCATGGGATCGCAGAGTTGGACATGACTGAAATGACTTAGCATGCATGCATGCACTTTAAAAAGAAAAGAACAGAAACAAAACACACATCTGGACACATAATAGGTCCCCGCTTCCAGGCTCCATGGCATAAAGGGCGAAAGCACAGTCCGTCCTCAAGAGGTCTGCAGGGGAAACAGTGCCATCAGGAAGAGTCAGGTTATCTATTAGAGAAAAAGATAAAGGGATCTTCGGTGAAGAGGTTGAGGGTTTAGGGGATTATTTTGCTTATGAACCCCATAAAGGGGGAGGGTTTCAAGAGTTGGGGGTGGGTAGTGGGTAAGGAGGCAGAAGATACTGACAACTTCAAAAGAGATCAGCTGTGGGAAAGGAAAGGTAATCGAGGAGTCTGGCTCTTTTGATGATAGCCAGTACCATATAAACAGGAATAAATAATGAGAGAAGTCCTGGCAGATTCAAGGACGATGATGGTCAGATTGTAAGTGCTGACAGGGAAGGAAGGATGGGTGTTTGAGGTTTCTTTTGACCACTTTCGATTAATGGGAGCAAGGACATCTCCAGCAAATCCTGATTTTTCAGTCTTTTTCTTAACTGACTGATTTGTCTTAACATCTGAAATTTGAGACCATCTTCCCTTCCCACTTTTTTAAGTTTCTCATTCTACCTCTCTTATTCCTTCTCTTCCACTGGCTTCTTTTCTTCTACCCACTCTTAATATTCTGTGGTTCAGTCCTGCCTTTCTTTTCACTCCACACACAACCTCATGCTCCCTGGCTGACTTCATCCATATGCCCAGTTTTAGCCCCTACCTATATTCAGCTTCCTAATGGACATCCTCCTTTAGACAGGCAGTGGGCACTTCAATGACAAACAGCTTCAAGAGCTAAACAGTATCTTTTTGCCCAAGCCGGCTATTCCTTCCTCTCTAGGATAAAGGGATAAGGGAGTTCTCTCCTGTTTTAAAATGTGGCTCTAGTGCAACCTTCAAAGCTGAGAATGACAAGTGATAAACTCCCCTATTCTCTAAAAAAACCAAACCATTCATGCCAGAGTGAGTTGCTAAAAGACAGTACCCCTATTATCCACCTGCTGCCTATCGAAAATGAAACAAAACAGACTAGAAACAGAAGTGAATTCATAAACATAGATAACACTAGAGCTTTATACCTTAGTGAGAACAAGGGCAGGAGTTCCCCCAGAAAATCTCTGGGACAGACTGGGAAACTTGTCATCTCAATGTCTGGCTGGTGATATACTGGGATAAAGGAACTCTTAAGCCCATTTGGGTCTAGCCGCCAGGAGGACCTGACATACATCCCCAGGAATTTAGGCCTTATGTGAACACGGGTCCCAGCCTGTAAAAAGCAAGAGGTTAGATGGAGGGACTTTCCTGGTGGTGCAGTAGATAAGAATCTGCCTGCCAACGCAGGGGATATGGGTTTGATCCCTGGTCCGGGAAGATCCCTCATGCCCAAAAGCCACAACTACTGAGCCCATGAGCTCCAACTACCTGCGTGCCCAGAGTCTGTGCTCTGCAACAAGAGAAGTCACGGCAGTGAGAAGTCCACTTACCGTGACGAAGAATAGTCTCCGCTCACCACAGCTAGAGAAGCTTTCGAGCACAGCCGAAAGTAATCAATAAGTAAGTAATTTTAAAAAAAGAGGTTGGAAGGAGCTTCTAAACAGCAGAGCAAGGACACAGAGGACCACTGCTAGAGGAGCTACGGTTCCACCACAGGGTTCTATAGGTTTCCCATTCGCCAACGAGATGCTGTGGAAGGGATAAAGCATTTGCTAGGCCAAAGACATGTGCCATCTTGAGGAAGGATATTCAGCAGTAACATAGGCTGTAGGTGGACTACAGGAGGAAGAGAGAGCGAGAAGACTGCCAAAGGCAGTTGGGCGTGTTCCAGACAGGAACCTGGGCAACATGGGCACACCATGGGGCCTGCAGAAACCATCCTAAACGCACAACTCTAAAGGCCACACTTGGACACCTGCCACAGAGGGTACCGGCAGCTGGACGACAACAGTCCCAGTCACGTAAAAGTTTGTCCTTTCTCTTCTAATCTTCCTGCCAATCAGAAGCCAAATGCAGAAAGAGGGAGGAAGCAAAAGAGCGAAGTAACACATAATACCCCCCCACTGCATGGACCCTGAGTCGTGATTAGGTGTAAGTAACCTCATTCAACTGGATGCAAGATTTGGAGTAGACTTTTCATACCTTTAAATTTAACCATCCCAATAAGGCTCATTCTTATAGTAAAAATGATGTCTTGTCAAAGAGGCAGGGAAGGAAGACTCAACAGGGCTAAAGTCAAGGATAAAAGGAAAATAAAGCAAGTTCTTACTTGTATGCTATCAGATACAGCCCATATACCAGTCCACAGTGCCACCACCTACTCTTGTTACTCAAGTTAGGAATCTAGGAGTCATCCCCCAGAGTCTCCCTCTTCTGAACACCCTGGCCATTATGTCTTAAACACATCTCTTCTCCCTGGCCCTTGAGCTACTAATCTAGCTCGAATCTGAAGTACTATAATAATCTAATTTACTGATTCTCTATCCTGGCCTACACTTTATTGTTATTATTTTTTAATTTGAGTATAACTGCTTTACAATGTTGTGTGGCCTACACCTTACAATTTTTAAATATTGTTTTAAATACCTAGGCCCCAGCCTAGAGACTGATTTAAACGGGATCACACAGAGGCCAGCCATGAGGTTTTCCAAGAGGTCCCCAGGCGCTTTGCAAGTGCAGCCAAGATTGAGAATAACTAACCTAACTGGCCTCTTCCACAATCCAGGCTTATCTTTCTCCAAACTATCTTTCATTATGCTACAAGAGTCATCTTTTTAAAAATGCAAATTTCACATTATCCCACAGCAGTTGTTTTCAATCTAGGCTGCCCCTTTAGAATCACTTAGTGTAAAAATTCCTGATACCAGGCCTAACTCCAGACCAATTAAAACAGAAGCCCTGGGGATAAGAACCAGGCCCTGGTATTTATCAGAGCTCCCCAGATGACTCTAAAGTGCAGACAAGGTTGAGACCCACTGTCCTAGAAGCAATGGGAAGTCACAGCAAGTCTTTAAGAACAGTAAAATCCAAACTCCCCTGAGGGCAGCGAAACCTTGCTTCTGACCTTAGCACCCTCAGCTTTCACACTACCAAAGCAATGTAGCTCCCGACACTACATTTATACATGGGCCGTGCTTTTATGCTTTCATGTAAAGTATTACCTCAATTCACCTACAGCCAAGGCCCAAACCACCTTTCAGGTTAAGACCTTTTAGGAACAGCAGCCTTTGTACAAAAACCCGACACACACAGTGGGGCTCATCAATCCACTCGTAACCGTGACAATCTCGTAGAGTAATTTTTAACTTTTAAGTCTAACTTGCCTACTCAACTACCTGAAACTCAAAGCTTATCTATGCTTTTATGCCTAGCGTATCACTATGAAGAAAACACAGTAAGCACTCAGAATTTCTGTTAAATTCATTCCATTTAAGTAAATAATTATCTGTATTATTATGCAGGTAGGAGATAATTTTAATAAACTGTAATAGATACCATATTTATACCTTATAGTCAAGTCTTACTGAAACAGAAGCCAACAGTTAGACCTTTTAAACATGTAAGGCAAACATTTAACGTTCGTTCTATTCATGAATAGAGTAACAAGTTAAGGGAAAAGGCAGGTACAAATGGTAGTGTGTTTCCAGAATCCCAAGGGTGGCACCTTACAGAACAGAATCCTGGCTTTTCCCTTGAACATATCCATTCCAATATACTTTTTTCAAAATGCTGTGCTATATAATGACATCTGTACATTTTAGGAAAGTGAGCTAAGACTACCTACTTCACCTAAAATGATAGTTACTTCACACTGTAAAAATGAAAACAAATTATGACAAGTTTTCAAATGCTTTGAATGAACTGTGTTAACCCAGTAATATGGTAACCAGCATTTAATGGAAATTTCTAGTACTCTGGGTGCTGTGTTACCCAGCAAAATCTCAGCTCTCTATAAAATCAAGGACAGCTTAAGCAGAAGACATCAATATCCTACTTTCAAAAAACCTGCATTTAGCATTTTACAGTCACTATATAGGTGACTGACCCAAAGAAAATAATTGTGCACAAATATAAACTGAAGAGGAATCACACACTTACATAAACTACTTCATTCAAAAGATTTATGTTGTACCCACATTCACATGGGCCATGGAAATCATCTTAGCATGCAAAATGACTACTGTGTTACTAAGCGTTTAAAGTTTTTTATCTGTCACACATTCTTGATCACTAAATCTGGTGTTCACCAAATACCTATTAATTCTTTGGGAATATAAATAAAGTCATTAACCACAATACTTGGCATTTGTGGCTAATTCTTTTTTTTTTTTACCTTATTTGGCGATTTCAAAGGTGAGATGGCTATTTTATTTGGTGTCTGTGTTGTAGAATTTAAAGTTGATCCAATAACACCACTTTCAGATATTGTTATGGTCTTTGATGGAGTCCCCGGAGTAGACTGTGAAAGAACCCTACCTGCAAATGAGAGGCAGCACATCAGTTTGACTTTTTTTAATAATGTATAAAAACGAATGTGGTGATGATTTACACCCACTGCAGTACATATGTTCAATACTTCACATGTAGCCACATATGAACTGAAACACATAAGGAGGTCTAATGAACCATGGTGAACCTAATGAACTATGATGAACCTAGACAGAAAGAAACAAAACAATGCTTCTTAGTAACACTTAGCATCTTAATACCACCTTATGAAAGTCCACAAAAACAACTCTGCCCACATTCTCATCAAAACTGTTTTGTGGGGGTTTTTTGCCCGCTCTGGGGATCTCAGCTCTCCAATCAGGGACTGAAGCTGCACCCTGCAGTGAAAGCACTGGACCACCAGAGGAGGGCCTCATCAACACTGTGAAGTGATGCCTGTCAGAAAATGCGCTCAGAAAAGCATGCAGCATGTCCGTGAAAGGGGTTCCCAAAGTCAGGACGTGGCTCCCAGCCTTAAAGCTTCAGTCTCTGTTCTCTGCCTCGGCTTCTTCCTGTTGGGACTTAAACCTCAGCATACGATCTAAGGCCACACCTATAAAACAGGCAGTTACTGGGCTAACTTGAACAGTCTGGAAATATACTTCCAGAATAACAGAGAAAAACTACACTGTGCCTGGATGACTAACGGAACTGGAAATCAGATGATGAGGAGTCGAAATATTAGGGATTTTTATCCTAGGTAGGAGAGGATTACAAAGATGTGACAACTCCTCCAAATTCCTGAAAGACTCGGCGATGGTGCCATTCACCCTTCTGGTGCCCCCACCACTCTGGACACACAGTAGGACTGCCCTTCCTACCCCCCCCCCCTTCCCTGTGGTGAGATTCAGGCCATGCGACTAGTTGTGACCAACAGATTGTGGGCAGAAGTGATGTGTATCATTTACTGCCTAGGCAGACCCTCCCAGGCCCTCCCTCCTTCCACAGCTGAGATGGTGGTTCCTCTGTCAGTCTGGGTCCTTGAGTGACCATGATGAGAAGAGATCCACCCCTTTCTAACCCACCACAGATATGTAGATAACCCTGAAGTAAAACTCTAAAATAAAACTTCTTTAACTTCTGAGAGTTAGACTGTTTACTATGGCAGAAAAACCAAGGTTATCCTGACTGATCCAGGCTGTCAAGTTGAAGGATCAGGACCATCTGTTATCTATGAGCTGCACAGCACTAATATATAGGAACAGAAAATTTTCAGTCTATCAGTAAGGAAGAACTTCCAACAAAAATTTCCAGTTGACATGACTGTTTTAATGAGTGAGTTCCTACTCACTGAAGATCTACGAAACAGATGCTGGATAATCAAATCCACTGGCTAAAGAGGAAACTCAAGCAGTAAAGAAACAGAGAGGATAGATAACTAAAGTATCTCTAAGATCCCTTTAGATGCTATGACTTTGGAAGGCAAGGAGATCAAACCTGTCAATTCTAAAGGAAATCAACCCTGAATACTCATTGGAAGGAATAATGCTGAAGCTCCAATACTCTGGCCACCTGACGTGAAGAGCCGACTCATTAGAAAAGACCCTGATGTTTGGGAAGATTTGAGGGCAGGAGGAGAAGGTGGCAATAGAGAATGAGGTGATTCAATGGCATCACTGAATCAGTGGACATGAGTTTGAGCAAACTCCAGGAGACCGTGAAGGACAGACAAAGAAGCCGGGTATGCTACAGTCCATGGAGTCGCAAAGAGTCGAACGTGACTTAGAGCAGTACTGAAAACAAAACAACAACTATTAGTAGTAGATGAAAGAGAGGGAGAGAGGGAAAAAAGGGGGGACTTAACAGAGAAAGAGCATGTAAGAGTTAGCATGTAAGGGCTATTACTAACAGCAATGTAATAGTACACCTATCTTTTTAAAAAATGAGTTAAGTTTTACTGGGCATTTATGAATTTTAAAATTATTTTAAATAAATTTATTTTAAAAAATTTCTTTTACTTCCTTATTACATTTTATATTACAGACATATTCCTTAGTGAATTTCAGCTGAGAGCTTTGCTAGGGTTCTTCTAGCCTGACTTACATCATAACTAGGCTAAAAAAAAACCCAAATCCTAGCAAATCCTACCAAAACTCCTTTCACTGTATGGATCACAACAACCTGTGGAAAATTCTTAATGAGGTGGGAATACCAGACCACCTTACCTGCCTCCTGAGAAATCTGTATGCAGGTCAAGAAGCAACAGTAAGAACCTGATATGAAACAACAGACTGGTTCCAAATTGGAAAAGGACTATGTCAGGGCTGCATACCGTCACCCTGCTTATTTAACTGATATGCAGAGTACATCATGAGAAATGCTGGGCTGGATGAAGCACAAGCTGGAACCAAGACTGCAAGGAGAACTATCAATAATCTCAGATATGCAGATGACACCACCCTTATGGCAGAGGGTAAAGAACTAGAGAGCCTCTTGATATAAGTGAAAGAGGAGAGTGAAAAAGTTGGCTTAAAACTCAACACTCAGAAAACTAAGATCATGGCATCTGGTCCCATCATTTCATGGCAAATAGATGGGGAAACAGTGTCAGACTTTATTTTTTTGGGTTCCAAAATCACTGCAGATGGTGACTGTAGCCATGAAATTAAAAGACACTTGCTCCTTGGAAGGAAAGCTATGACCAAACTAGACAGTTTATTAAAAAGCAGAGACATTACTTTGCCAACAAAGGTCCGTCTAGTCAAAGCTATAGTTTTTCCAGTAGTCATGTATGGATGTGAGGGCTGAACCATAAAGAAGGCTGAGCGCTGAAGAATTGATGCTTTTAAACTGTGGTGTTGGAGAAGACTCTTGAGAGTCCCTTGGACAGCAAAGAGATCCAACCAGTCCATCCTAAAGAAATCAGTCCCGAGTGTTCACTGGAAGGACTGATGCTGAAGCTGAAGCTCCAATACTTTGGCCACCTGATGCAAAGAACTAACTCATTGGAAAAGACCCTGATGCTGGGAAAGATTGAAGGCAGGAGGGAAAGGGGACGACAGAGGATGAGATGGTTGGATGGCATCACTGACTCACTGGACACGAGTTTGAGCAAGCTCTGGGAGATGGTGAAGGACAGTAAAGCCGGGCGTGCTGCAGTCCATGGGGTCACAAACAGTGAGACACGACTTAGTGACTGAACTGACATCATAACTAAGTAAGTCAATTCTATAGAAACTAAATGAATCTGTATCAAATATTTTTAGAAGGCCACCCTCAAGTGTGGAGCCTGCCTCAAGTAGCATGTTTATATGTTCTGATTTCCAAAACTGATACCTGTGGGATAAAGCCTAAAGCCCTAACAATCATTATTTTAAGAAAAGAAACTACCAATAATGACACATTTTTATAAAATGTTCAGTTTAATGGCTATTACTACAATTTCTTATTTGTTAAGCATTACATACATTTCAGGAAACATATATGTAAAATCTCCAATTCCTGAGGATAATTGGGACCAAAAAAAGGCCACTTACTCTGTGATAACCTAGACGGGTGGGAATGCAAGGGAGGTGGAAGGGAGATTCAAGACGGGGACATATGTATACCTATGGTTAATTCATGTTGACATACGACAGAAATCAAACCAATATCATAAAGCAGTCATCAATCAATTAAAAATAAATATTAAAAAATAAAAAGTGTGACCTTAAGCATTCTATCATTGTCAAAGGAATAATATAAGTCAGAAGGTTGTTATAAGTAATAAAACGTGATTATGGTTTGTTCAAGTATTTTGCAGAATTTTAAAAATTAAAATGAAAAATAAAATTGGGTAAGTACATCAAAAGAAAAGGCCACTTAAAGTGAATTACATTTAAAACAAGGACAAAAATGTCACTGTAATTAACAACAAAAACCTCTAAAAGTTTTTGGCTAATATTTCATAAAAATTCTGTTTATAATTTCAACTACACTGTCTCTTAGAGTAAAGTGTTGAATGTGAGGGAGGATTCTTCTGAAAATTAATATGACAGCACAATGGCACATCCTATTTGATGGGCACATGACACAGAAGATTATTTCTGACAAAATATTTCAGGATTTCATCAATTTTCCCAAGAACCCTCTATAGCCTTTAAAATTCAAATTATTCTCTTTTGAAGGGCTACTTTTTTTTCACCCAGATAGCATTTCTCCTGATGTCCAAATCCCCATATATCCTTGGCTCTTCAACAGACGCAGAGAAGTATACAAGTCACAGTTTCACTTTGAAATCAATTTGTAAGGCATTTCACACTCTGCTGTCAGATATTGTCCAAGAAACAAGAGACATAATCCAAAAAGCTACAGATGGGACAGGCTGAGGGCAGGAGCTAGCTTACCTGAGCCAGGACTAATTCTAAAGAGATTAATTCATTATCAAATATTTTAACACTGATGAAGTTTGCTCTACTATAGCAACTTGTTACCTTGGGAGCTCTGACAATGAGGACCTCTGACAATGAGGACCTCTGTACCTCATTTAACCATCTTAAAAGTCATGTGAAGTGATTGGTTATAATATTGTATTTTATCGAACTATAAAATGACCAACATTTTATAGAAAGAAATAAGAGCAACAGAAAATATATTTACCCAAGATCAGGGAGAAAATTAATAGAAGAACCATGACCAAAACCCAAGTCTCCAAATAGCTCCTCCAACATACCACACCACACTGACTCCATGATACACATATTCACTCAACAACACACATTCACTGACCACGTCTATGTAGTCCCAGAAACTGTAGGTACCAGAGACTCATAAAAAGTTAGTCATAAAAGGAAAAATACTGTCTGATTCCACCTATACAAGATACACAGAAAAGTCAAATTGATAGAGACTGAAAGTCTCTGCTAGGGGCTGGGGGAAGGAAGAAATTGAGAAGTTGTAGTTTAATGGGTAAGGAGATTTAGTTTTGCAACATGAAAAGTCCTAGAGACAGACAGTGGTGATGGTTGCATAACAGCATGAATATACTTAAAGCCACCAATGGTTAAAATGGTCAATTTCATATTATGCATATTTATCACAATTCTTTAAAATAATTAATTTTTAAAAACTAGATGGCAAACAAAATCCAAAATTACTATTGAGAGAAATCTTAAGTATAGTAGGGGAGACAGACAGGTAAGAAAACCAAGTATTACAATACATCAAGACTAACGCGAACATTAAAAGTCACTGTGAAATATAACAGAAGTCTTAAGTTAAGTATTTGGTAGGTATAACCAAGTTTTATGGAAATACATAGGAGATGGTCAGAGAAAGAGTACCTTGCTAACCTAAGGATCAAAAAATTACCAGACAGTGGAGATAATCCAAAGATAAAATGGATGACTCAGCCACGAGGAAAGCAAAAACAAAAATCATTTCTGGTAAACCCAACATTGCCAAGAGCCTAAGTTCTAAGAGAACATGGTCAATGTGGTGATCTCTTAGAAATAAGTTACATCAGTAGGTCTGGGGCTAATAGAAGGTGAAAATGAAAAAGGTTATGTATTAGATAATAAATGACTTTAACACTAAGCAAGCTCTGGCTTTTGAACCTATTCCTGATGATTTAAGGCCAGGAAATGGAAAAGAAATGAATGTAACCAAGGAAATTTTAAGCAAGGGGTGACAAGATTTGCATTTCAGAAAAGTCAATTTCATGAACACTAAGTTCATCTTGATTGAAAGAAAGAAAAATGATATTCATGTTCCATGAGAAGCCCAAATGTCATTAAAAAACAGTCTAAATGTAGTTTGAAAGATCATTAGCTACAACCTAAAGACAGTGGAATCGCCTCGATAAGACAATTCAACAGGAGAGCTATTTTGGTGGTTTAAATTTGGCTTACATGAATTTTAAAAGCTATGAACTACTAGTTAACAGTTGAAATTATACCTCCAAACTGAACTTAATGCCCACAACCCTAGTGAAATTTAATAGAAGTCTGTCCCTATGCATTTTGGGAGGGCTAATGTCTGCAATTAAAAGGTGAAGCTATGATTAGTGTGGAACACACTGTAAATGACCCAAAGACCCAGCAATGACATACATCCATTACAGTCAAATGTGACAGGTACAATCTTGACATTACCAAATATTCACCCAGATACACTTCTGCAAAAACACAACTGTTTAGCAAACTCCCCCACCCCACTTATAATTAGAAGTTTTAAGGGATGCTTGTAAAGTTCTACAATGAGACAGTCCTCCTAGTTAACCACTTCCACCCACCCTACCTTCCAAGGGTTTGGTGGTCCCTTTATCATCAGTATATCCAAGCCTTACTCACTTTCAGCCAACTGAAGCCCAGTTCCTGAGGCAGCTCTAAACCTAAACCCTTTCCAATTTTTCCTCTGGGACTATACCTAGCTCCCGTGACAGCCCTCAAGACACAAGCATCCTGCATAACCCCAAATCTCTACTGAAGACCAAAAGAAAAAGAGAACAAAAAGAGAATTTACCCAACACTGCCCTCAAACAACCACCTCCCCATGCCTTCTCTCACTTGCTAAAAAAGAGAAGCCTCCCTGCATATAATTCAAAGCCCTGGGAAAATGATCAAGTCTTTGCCACTGACTTCAGAGTTGCCTATTGTTATCAAAATGCTTAGTTGCTCAGTTGTGTCCGACTCCTTGAGACCCCATGGACTGTAACCTGCCAGGCTCCTCTGTCCATGGGATTCTCCAGGCAAGAATACTTGAGTGGATTGCTATTTCCTTCTCCAGAGGATCTTCCCGGCCCAGGGATCAAACCCAGGTTTTCTGCACTCTCTACCACCTGAGTCAACAGGGAAAGACACTACTAGGTGACTTTAATACCAGGGATGGTTTGTTAACATCTGAAGTACCTTCATAGAGAATACACATTGTGGAAATGGGTAATTAGCATTTGAAAGTCTCTAGTCAAAGTCTATCACCCAGAGATGCTTCCATAAGCTCTTAGCACAATGGAAAGTAGAAATGAGTTCCAAAGTGGTAAAAGGAGTAATGTTAGCATAGCTCTGAATTAAAGACCAGTCACCGTGGCCTGGAGCAGGAAACCGCAACCAGCTCCAGTATTCTTGCCTGAGAAACTCCATGGGCAGAGGAGCCCTGTGGGCTACAGTCCATGGGGCCGCAGAGTCAGACACGGCTGAGTGACCAAGCACGAGCACCATGGCTGTGTGACAGTCTCCAGAAGTTCTGAGGTACCTGCCAGTCAAGAAGAAATAAGAGAGCTGGGCCACTATGGAAAGAGTGGAAAATCAACGGTGTTTTCAGGGAGCAATAATGATGGGTTACGAACTCTGTGCTGAATAGAGATGAATTTAAGGACAGGAAAGAACTCATTATTAATGAGTGGAAGAATTAATAGATCAGAGATTTCAAAGTCAAAGAACTGCCAGATTGGAAGCACAAAGGCAGATGAACTAAAACAACGAAGAGAATGAAATACTCAAAATCAAGATTTTGGAGGTGTTATTGGTGATGACAAATTTTAGTGTATATAATAAAAGAATTGGGCCACACTAAAGAATTTGCTGGTAAAAGTAATACAACTAAAATGCTGTTCTCACTGAAGTAATTATTATTGTCATGACAATTTTTTGTTTCACAGAGAACTGCATACAGAAAATATTAAAACACTGAAACCAAAAATTCAAACAGAAACCATGAAGTACTATACAATCACATATACTACTTCAAACTTACTAGACTTAGCATGTGCTCTGGAGACAAACTGCCTGGATTCAAATCCCAACTTGGCCATTTACTAGTTGAGTGCCTGTTCCCATACTGGCAGAATGGGGATGTTACTAGTACCTACCCCACAGGATTGCCAGAGAATTAAATATATCACTCTTTGGGAAGAGCTAAGAACAGCATGGGGCCCACAGCAAACATTATGCAAATGTTAGCTGGTATGATCAGAGTTTTAGGCGTCACTACCCCCAAAGGTACACCAAAAACTAAGGACACTAAGCAATGGACTGATTTTGAGATAAGGCATTTTGCTTGAAGCACACATTTAACAGGTATAATATATCTCATTAACCAGTTTGATTTATAGTAATAAACAGTGAAACATTTCAAGGTGGTAGAACAGTCTTTTTTAAAACTAAAAGGAAGGGAAGTATTTAGCTTAACAAACTATAAAGAAATATAACCTGCAATGACTGGTGGTGATACTTGAGTTGTCTGTCCTGTAACTGCTTTACTATTAATTGGTTTTGCAAAGATCAGCTTCGTGATTACCGGACCAGAGGTTGGTGTTCGAGGCTTCTTAGCAATCTGAAATATATAAATAACTATGAAAACCATTTTTCTATAAAACACCTACTCAATCAAAATTAGACAAGACTGATGTAGAGAAGTACATGTGAAACCAGCTCATTTAACAAAAACATATCTCAGTATTAATATTAAAAACATTTAAAATGCAGCCATTCACCCAAATACTAATATCACATCCTTAAGCCATTATGTAGTAATACCTTTGAATTTTATTTCAAATCCTTATCTTAGTCTCTGAGACATACGCATATCATGAAAATCAAATTAATTTTTAAAAATAATGTTTAAAATAAATGTTAAATAATAATGAAACCAAAAAGTGGCATAGCAATATTCTTTTCCAAATAACAAATTATTCAATAATAAAAGATGGAGTAGAATACATTAAGAAAGCATAGTGCAAATGATAAAGACATCTGTAAATATAATTTCATTGGCCCCTGGAAGCAAAATATAAACACACATTAAAGACAGGTTTATGACTTTATCTTCAACTTGAGATCTATGTATCAGGGGCAAATAAACAAAGAACTGCACAGGTTAATGCTTTAGGATACAAAGAGACATGTTTGGCAAAACAAAGACTATTCTGAAGGTGAAGCCTCTGAAATATTATTGACTAAAATATGATTTACTATAGTTTACTAGACTATAAATTCTTTGAAGGGAGAGTCTATGTTTTATTCACCTCTGATTTTACATGATACATGGTACACTGTTGCCCTGAACTAAAATTCTTCCTAAGTCAAGGAATGTAGTTACTGATATTTTTATATTAAAATTATCAATGTATGCAAAGAAAAGCTTTTTCTAAAGCCAGAAGCAGAAATTTAGCAATGACAAATCACAAATTTTCACAGCAGGAAGGACATTAAATATCAACTTTACCTTTGGCAGATATAAAAATTGAGGCCCTGAAAGTACTATTATTGGAAATAATAACGCAAAATGAACAAACATGACCAACTTAAATTACAAAATATACTAGAAGCTGCAACTGATCACAGAACCAAGTAAATATCAGCTTTGTGCTTTAACTATAAATTAAACTTAAAAACATACTTTCTTACATCTAGAATAAATTACTTCCTTACACTCAGAACACAGTACTGACAAAACAAAATGTACAGGAAATACAAACCACCTTTAAAAAAAACAAACCAAAGAGATCTATAACTATATATTAAAAAATATCCAGACTGCAAAACTCTGACATACTTGAATAAATCCATAATTGTACTTTACAAAACTGATGCAATTTGAGAGACATAAAGGGAAAATATTTCCCAAGTGTATTTACAGGCCTAGAACTCTAAAATAAGTTAAATAGGTTGTCTATTGACTTAGTATTAAGAATCTCAAGAGGCAGAGGTACTGATATTTTTGGAAATCTGTATCTTGCAAAAAAATAATCTTAGCCACAGTTTGGGAACTTAAAGTATTTCCCCATTTTTAACTGATTTTCACAATCACAAAACTATACAAATACTTACCAACCAGGAAAAAAATGTAAACAATACTACCAAAAGCTCATTAATTACTCAAATGAACAATCTCAACTTGCATGTATGGTTTTCTTTCTTTAATGGAGCATAGCTGAAAATAAGGATTTCAGTTCTGTTAAGGAACCTTGCTTTTTGTATTATGAGTTAAACTACCCTAGGAGAAACTTACTTTTATTAAATAAAACAGAGTATAAAGGATCATTTTTAAACAAATGTATCTAATTAACAGATTAACACAAAAATGAATCAGAAAAGGAAATTTACAAATAAGACTGCCTAATATGTGATCAAATAATACATGCAAAAAAAAAAATAATAATACATGCAGGTAATTTGGGGCACTGTGTTGTACAGATTTCGGAACTAATAAGGAGTTATGTTGTTCAAGACTGCTAATTATTTATTATCCTTACATACTATGCAGAAGAATCACAGGAAAGGGTTTATGTATCTGTAATTACGTGTAACTATCTCTGTTACTGCCTCTGGTTTCAACTGTCACCTCTTTCCTTCATTTTTCAAGATGGGTCTCCTTCTTCCACCCTTTCCTGTTGTCCACACCCTAACAGCTTCAATCCGATTAAACTTAAGACAATGCTGAGGACCATCTGGGGGAAAAAATGAGATGATCATACACACTATGTAATACTAAACCAAATACCCTGGTGCCTAAAATGGATAGAGATAGGCATGTAGGTTTTTGTTTGTTTTTTTCTGAGCCTCAGAGCTTTAGAGGCTACTCATGAGTTGAAATGATTTGAGTTGCCTAAAAATAACTGGCCAAGAAGAACAATATTCTAAATGGGGTTTCTTTTGCTTTTAAATAGAAGCTCTTTTTAAATAAATAGAATTAAATGTTATAAAAGTAACGACAATAAGAGAAGTTATAAAAATTAGACCCTAGCTTGTTTTCATTGTTGGTACTTGGGGGATTATAGACAAAAACTAGTGGATACAAGTAAACGGGTCTTACAAACAGTATGTACACATTGCTCTATTAAATGGGAAAAAAAAACAAAAATGACATTCTGATTTACATTATCAGTTTCTTATAAACATGGCTATGATCCACATCCTCAAAGCCAGATAAACTCAGGTAAATCAGTAAAAACAAGTTTCACAACTGATTTTTAAAAGGACAAGTTGAGGACAAGGTGCCTGATGGTGACAGGATATCTCATTCAAGAGATACTCATCAAAAGAAGTAAAAGGAAATCAGAGATAAGTGAGAGACAATTGTGAATGAGAAAGCAAAGAACATTAAATGTTTAACAGTGGCCAAAGGGACGTGGGCAAATTATATATAAAGTCTGAGAAATTGTATGAAGTTCTTAAATAAAAAGCCCACGAAAAATAAGATTCTATTTTGCCAACATAATAACAAAAACATTTTTTCTAGTATCAGCTGAGAGTGGATAATTCCCCAAACCTTCCTCCCTTCCTTTTATGCATTCTTTAGTTCTCATGTCTTCTCCTTTTTTCTAAAAGCCAACTCTTTAAAACAGGAAATGCATTTGTGTTCCCTGGTCTTAATTGGATCATTGTATTTCTAAGCATGGTGCTGACCTAAAAAGGCCTATCTGGACACGAAAAATGGGGAACCACTTAACATATGTTCTAATAACCTTCTAACTTGGGTTTCTATTCACACTAACAATGGGTACCATTTTGAAGGATCTTCAGTGTTTTGAGAACCATACCAAGTACTGATCTTACGTATTTCATCATGATCAAATAGCCATCTTACAGCTAAAGTCAAAAACTCAGAGAAAATAAGTAGCCTATTCAAAGTTCCACAGCACCATCGGTCCTGCAGAAAAGTGACTGAAGTCCAGTTGGTCCAATTCTAAACCTTCCATCACAGGGCACTGTCTTTCTACACTGCAAATATGAGTGATGCAGGCAGGGGACAGTAAATTCCAAAGAGGCACATACTGGCTGGTTTGCACTACTGCTGGCTCGAACAGTTTCTCAGAGCAGCAACTTCTCCTAGACTTCGGCCATCTGTTAGCTGAAAATATCATGTCTGAATGATTTTTTGACAGCCCAGCACCAACTCTGCCATCTTTACACCAGCAGAACATCCTTGGACTCAAACTATGACTGAGAATAAAATGTGTTTCAAAATGAGTAAAAAGCTATAAATACACTACACATTGGAATTTAACCACAATTAAGTTCTAAGTTCTCTGGCAGAAATTTTCAAAAGCATTAGACATATCAAAGACTTTACAAAAAAAAGAACCACACAATTACTAAAAGCAACATTCAAAAAGATTCAGTAACAACTATGCATTTAATCACCCTACACATACAGCTATGAATCAATTTAATATTTAACATGCATTTTCATTAAGAAGCCCCCTCTTTTTTTTTTTACCTGTACTGTTTTTAACTGTTGGGTCTGTAACACAGAGGGCTGAGCTGTAGTGTTAAGCAGTTGACTTCCTGGGGTCAATGCTGAGACATCAATGACAGGTTTCACCTCTGGCCTCCCTCCAATGGTAACTACTTTAATTTGCTGCGGTGGTAACTTAGCATCTCCTGACTGGGCCTGAGTTGTAACTTTCTGAGCCTGGGCTTGGCTATGGGGTAGTGCTAAAACAATTGGTGAACCAGACTTGCCCAAAGTTGTTAAAATTAACTTCTGTCCATCTGGTTTAAGGGTCTGATTGCCCAGTTTAAGATCAGATGTCTGTGATACTTTGTTTAAAATAATCTGATTGGCTGATATAGTCACAGGAGTCTGAGCACCAAGTTTTTGAAGGCCACTTGGAAAAGCTGGTTTCACTGTGGTGTTAGAATCTGCTTTAGTGATTGTGGTGTTCACTGCAACTTGGTTAGTGTGGTTACTGTACACTGTGATTGGCTCCGTGGAAATGGGCGTGGCTGCAGAGTCACCAGCAGAATTTATGTTGACAATTTCTTCCAGTTCTGTCTCCATGGGAATTGGGGATGAAACAATAACAGCCTCAATACTATCATCATCCACTAAAGTTATACCAGCGTCCATTATCTCCTCTGGGAGCAAACTATTCACCTCAGCTGGCACCACCTCCATGATCGTTCTCCTTCGAGAAAGTTGGTCAGGTGCTGCAACAGAAGTTGAAAAATGAATAAATTACTATGTTTCAAAACAGATATGAGAAGAAAAAAAATCAGCCAAGAAAAAATGCAAATGACAAAACAATATTTGTGTTAAACCATTTCAACAAATCCTCAACCTTCAAGAATCTGGTATACAAGTCCTATCGGACATAAAACTAGAAGCAAACATTCTCGTTTACCATATCTCAATCCAAAAGTATACCGCATTCAGGCAATACATAATTACAGGAAACTCCTTTCCAATTCCTGCCCATAAATAAAACCTTTTAATATTTGACATGTCTGACCATCTTATTTCTTCCCATTTCTGGGTTTTTCTTCCCTACTAACTTGAAAACTTCTGATTTGCACAAGCAAATAAAGATTTAAATAAAAACAGATATTAGAAAATACAGTTGAACCTCCAGTGAAAGAGGTTCTAAAATGAGGTTACTATATCATTTATAAAAATCCATTAAGTACTCAAATTGATGTTAAAGAAGCTTCCAGAGTAAGCCACCTCAGCAACTGCAGGTCAAATGGGTTATAGGTCCCCAGTTTGATCCATCAGCTTCATATTAAAGAAATTTTTATTTGGAAAGAAGATTCTCAACTCCTCCTCAGCTATTTAGAATGCCAAAAAGGGAACCAGTTAAGAGGTATACAACCAGTTCCCACAAAGGAAAAAAAAGATGGTAATGATAATAATAAAGCAGATCACAAACAAATCAGAACTGTGATGCTTTCAGTCAAAGGTCATGAAAACTTCCAATAAAAGAGTCAGCACCATTATCTTCACATATTAAAGAGTATCTCATATTTATGACTGACTACATATCTTATTTGGACTTCCCTGCTGGCTCAGCAGTAAAGAATCCTTCTGCAATGCAGTAGACGTGGGTTTGATCTCTGCATCAGGAAGATTCCCTGGAGAAGGAAATGGCTACCCACTCCAGTATTCTTGCCTGGGAAATCCCATGGACAGAGGAGCCTGTAGGCTACAGTCCACAGGGTCACAAAGAGTGGTACACGACTTAGTGACTAAACCACCACCACCAAACAAGCTATTTGCCCAGAGTACATCAAAGATTCATAGCAACCTAATCAGTAATTCTTTCTTTTCCCTTTCTTAAAAAAATATAAAAATGCAATACCCATTCCAAGATTAAAAGTTAACAGACATAAGTGGCAAATTATAATTAAGTAGCACTAATAAAAACTAATACTGCCAAAATTATATCATTACTGAGCATTTACTACCTACCAGTGATGGCATAATTTAACCTATCCTGATAACAACTCCAAGATGCATCATTTTACAGATGCATCATTTTACATACTCTATGCCCAAGGTCACATAGCTTGTAAATGACGAGCCAGAACTCAAACTCAGGATGTGTTTAACGATACCAAAGTTCATAATTTTAATCACACAATTTACTGCCTTAAAAAATAAGTCTACTCCTTTACAGCCAACCCTCTACCCCAAATTCCTACTCTACACAACCACCGGTCTATTCTACAACTTCACTAGATTAGTGCTGCCTTTGTGCCCACTTTAGAACTTCACACAGATGGAATCACGTATTATGTGAACCCATGGTATAAAGGATGAGCCTCTCCCCTCAGCATGCTTTTTGAGATTTATCTTTATTCTTACACTAATTAGTAGCTCAGTTCCTTTTTATTGCTGAGTAATATTCCGCTGGATGAATCTACCATGATTTGTTTATCCATTCGTCTGTGGATGGACATTTTGATTGTTTCTTGTTTGGGACTATCATGAATAATATTGCTAAAAATCATTCGAGGCTTTTGTGGATAGATATTTTCACTTCTTTTGAATAATTACCTAGATGTGGACCTGATGGACCATTAGGTAAATTTAACTTGGGGCTTCCCGTATGGCTCCGTGGTAAGGAACCCACCTGCCAGTGCAGAAGTGGGTTAGATCCTGGGGTCAGAAAGACACCCTGGAGAAGGAAATGGCAACCCACTTCAGTGTTCTTGCCTAGGAACCGAGGAGCGTGGTGGGCTGTCACAGTCCATGGGGTTGCAAAAGTCAGACACAACTTAGTGAGTAAACAACAATTTTAAACTTTGAATGAAATATGCCAGACTATTTCCCAACTTAGCTGTGTCATTTTGTACACCAACCAGCAATGCATGGGATTTCCAGCTGCTCTACTTCCTCACCAACAACTGGTTTTGTCAGTCTTTTTAACTGCAGCCATTCTAGTGGGTGTGAAGTGATAGCTCATCGTGGTTTTAATTTGCCATTTCCAGATGACTAAATATGTTGAGCACCGTTTCTTATGAATATTACCTATTTGTATATCTTCTTTTTTAAAGTACCTGTGTGTTAAGTCTTTTGCCAATAAAAAAAAAAAAAGATTGGGGTTTTTAATCATCTTATTGAGTTGGGTGAGTTCCTTATGCATATTGCCATATCATCAGTTGCAGTAACTTATAGCTCAGAGGAAATCAATAGGGTTTGGGGGATCCCAAAGTATAAGCACTTCTCTAGATTCGGCTCTTCCTGGTCAGTAGAGTCCCCCTCCCGCACTTACAGAACAGGGAATTTATGGAACAGGATTGCTGAAACATCAATACCAACTACACCCACTCCCCCCGCCCCACACACACAGTGGCACATCAGCTTCCTATTCCTACTGCAAACCTTGTCCAAGCCCTATCAGCTGTTTCTCAACATTCCACCCCACAAAGAATGAGGAGGAGGATGACTTGGGTGTCACTATCCAATGCAGCCATTAAGTTTGACTCTCTTCTCCCAGAAGCTCCCCCAGCAGGGTTAGACTCGAAGTCAAGGTGTTAGAGGCGGAGAGGCCACGCCACAGAGGGAGATGGTGGCCCGGTGGTGCATTTACTTTCAGTTTCACGCACTCATACTTGCAGCTCAACTGCAAAACTTCTGATGTTTTCCATCCACCCAAATCCTCATTTCTGAGCTCCTCCTCTTGGCTTGGGGGACTCCTTGACTCAGCAGCTATAGCCCCAGTGCCTTTCGGCGAGGGCCATGCAGTGGAGTGTACAGCAACCAAAGCAAGCACCATCCAGGCCACCCCTCAGCTCAGCCCCGAGAGATTCCAGGAGGTGGGACACGGAAGGGCGCCTACTCCTCCTGCCCCCACCACCCTTGCCTGCCACGTGGCTGAGAGCATTCCCTACCAGACGCCAGTCTTTCCATATCCCCTAGCCTAGCCCTCAAGGCACTCATCCTTCCTCTTTTGAGAAGCCACGTCTGCGTCAGCACTCCATTCTTAAGGCCTAAAACTGTCAAGAACTGGGAGGCAGTCGAGATTCAAGACTCTCCTTGAAAGCTAACAAAGTTGCCTGTCACTGTTTGGTGGAGACTGGCAGATGACACGGCAGTCCTAGGACAGAGACAGGGGACTTATCACACCCAGCACGGTAAGGAATGGGAGCACCGTGTGTGTTCTGGCTCCCTTGCTGCCCCCACGTCCCACGGGGCAGACGTGGGGAGGCGCCCAGGTGTACACGGCGCAGGCAGTGGGTTCACACTGAGGAACCCTGAGCCTAAGGAACCTGAATCGTTTATAAGGGGCTGAAACACACCTGCCCTTTGTCCAACAGGAGATATTATCTTTATGACACTGGACGTACAAGCAAATCTGCCCTCTGCTATGACAGGAGTCACTGACTCGAACACCCAAGGCTTTATGCTATACAAACATCCTGGAGAAAGCTGTTTAAAAGGCCTATTGCTGCCTCGCTTGTAACAAGTACAAAACTACAAAGACCCATGGGGAGCTGTCTCCTAACAGTGTACCTCCCTACTTATTTGTTTTAGCAACGTGTTTTGTTCTTCGAGTGTTTAGGTCTTGTATATGTTTTGGTAAATTTATCCCTAAGTGTTTTGTTTTTTGATGTATTGTAAATGGCCTTATTTTCCAACTGGTTGGTTGTTGCTAGTATATAGGAATTCAACTGACTATTTTACATTGTCCATGTATCTTATAACCTAGCTAAACTCACTAAATCTTATGTAGAGTCCACAGGATTTTTTAGAAAAATAATTCATATTATTTGAGAATAACAATTCTCGGTATTACTACTTATAATAATAACCTGCAGTTCTTCCTTTCCAATCTGCACGTCTTTTGTTTCTTTTCTTGCCTTACCATACAGGCTAGGACCTCCAGTAAAATGTTGAATGAAGTGTTAAGAGCAGACATCTTTACCTTGTTTCCAATTTTAATCTTAGCTGTAGGTTTTTCATAAATTCCCTGTGTTGGGTTGAGGAAGGCAACTTATAGTGCCAGTGTGTAGTTGTTTCTTTTTTCAAATGGATACCTAATCATGTTTTTTTCTGCAACTAGTAGAGATAGACATATGGCTTTTTCTCCTTTGTGAAAGTCACTCAGTTGTGTCCGACTCTTTGCGACCCCATGGACTACACAGTCCATGGAATTCTCCAGGCCAGAATACTGGAGTGGGTAGCCTTTTCCTTCTCCAGGGTATCTTCCCAACCCAGGAATCGAACCCAGGTCTCCCACATTGCAGGTGGATTCTTTACCAGCTGAGCCCCAAGGGAAGCCCAAGAATACTGGAGAGGGTAGCCTATCCCTTCTCCAGCGGATTTTCCTGACCCAGGAATCGAACCAGGGTCTCCTGCACTGCAGGGGGATTCTTTACCAACTAAGCTATCAGGGAAGCCCGTTTTCTCTTTTAGTCTTTGAGTTATATTGATTTTAATAAGCCAATTTTGCACTGCTGAAATAAACCCCACTCAGGAAAATTATATACAATTATATTCTATATATATTGCCAAATTCTGTTGGCTAATACTTTATTAAGTAATTTGTCTATATTTATAAGGGCTCTTGGTCTGTAGTTTTTTTGTAACGGCTCTCTGGGGACAATGCCAGTCTAACAAAATAAGTTGGGACATTGCCCCTTTTCAATTTTCAAGAAGCATCTACATGGAACTGTTACTGTTTGTTAGAATTCACCAGTAAAGCCATCTATTTAACTATAAATTCAATTTCTTAATTAGATGTAGCGTTACTCGGGTTATCTTTCTTTCAAATGACCTTTGATATTTGATAGTTTGTATCTTTTAAGGAATATGTCTATCCCTCTAAGTTGCCAAATTTATTAGCATAAAGTTACATAACAATATTATTTCAATGCCTGGAGAGATGGAAACTTCATTTCTTATTTTGGTAGTTTCTGTCTTTTCTCCTTTTTTTCTTGATCAGTCTGATTGGAGATTTTTCAGTTTTATTGATCTTTTCAAGAATCATTTGGCTTCATTGATTTTTCCCAACAGTTTGTTCATTTTTAATTTAACTGACTATTACCTTTATCTCCTTCCTTCTGCTTTAATTTGTTTCTTCTAGAAGCTTAAAATGGAATCACAGGTCGGGATTTAACAAACCACAACCTACAGATCAAAGTAAGACCACAGTCCACAGTTATTGCTCTACAACTAACAATGATTTTTACATTTGTAAATAGTTGGGGGAGGGGCCTACAAAACATAAAATAGTTGCCATCTGGCCCTTTATAGAAAGTTTGTCAACACTTGGTTTAGATCATTGATTTTAAACCTTTCTTCTTTCCTAAAATAAACATTTAGTGTTAAAAATTCCTCCAACACTGCTTTAACTGCATTCTGCTAATCTCAAATGTTTTTATTATCATTCACTGAAAATCTTTTCTAATATTTCTTGTGATTGCATCTTTGACACATGGAAAATACAGAAGTATGCTATTTAATCCCCAAATATTTGGGGATTTTTCTACCTTTAATTATTGATTTCTAATTTACTCCTATCATTGTCAGAGAATGTAATACTCTACCATTTCCACTGTGTGAGATGACATTTGGAGACCTGTTTGAGGCTCAGTGTACAGTCCCCTTTGGTGAACAGTGCACGTGCACCTGAAGAGAACATGTGCTCCGTGGTTGCTGAGAGTGGTGCCCCATGAATGTCCAACAAGTCAAGATGGCTGAGAGTGCTGTGCAGATCTTCCAGTCTTTCTTTTTCCTCTTCTATCTATTACTGAGAAAGACTGTTAAAATTCTCAAATATGATTGTGGATTTGTCTGTTTCTCCTGTGCATTTTTACTTCTTCATGTATTTCTGTTATTAGGATGAACATGTCCTCTTCTGACTGGTCCTATTAAAAGAGACCAGGAGCTATAGGGCTAGGAGTCTCCCTTGGAAGTAGGAGTAAAGTTCAAACTTCCAACCAGAAAAGGTCTGATTGGTCTGGCTGGTCTCTAAGTAGCATGGGCTGTGCAGAGTTCCGGAGCCAGCACACCTCACAGGCCACTGAGCAGACTGTAATAACTGCTTTATGATTAGACATCTCTAGCTGTTTCAATCAGGGTCACATGCAGGGCAGGGTGGCCTCCGCTAAGAGAAAACTCTCAGAAGGAGCTTGTGGGCATGGCAGGAAAGGGTTTGGCCATCTAGTGACATGAATCATCACTCTAATTTTATCCCTTAGGAATGGAAGATATGCCCTAGCACATGCAGCCTCACCACCCCTGTGTTGAGGACCACTCCAAGAAAAGAGAGAAAGGGAGGATCTTTACAAGCCAACAGGACAGAGGAGCTGTATTTTACCTCTCAAGGTATGGAAAGAAAAGAACACCAAATACGCAATGCATTTCCCAGGCTTCCAATATTTTCTGCTCATAAAACAAAGTTGTGAAAGCTTTAGTTTTTAACTACTTTTTTATTTTTATCAGTATATACTTAACAAATATGTAACGCTTTCCAACTTTGTGGAGGGAAATTAACCAAAGCCCTTGCCCAGACAGACCTTACATGTCAATAGAAGAGGGGCATGATCACAGCTGTAGTTTGGGAGGATTGACTTCATCTTGGTGTTTTATTGGACTGAAAGCAGGGAAACCAGTCACAAGGCTATTACAGTAATTAGTTCAAGACAGAGATAAACGGAGGGTCTGATTTAGGACATTAAAAGAAATAAATACAACATAAAAACAATGTAAGATAGATATGACAAATGCTCTAAGCTTTCACTTTTTTTTTTTGAGACAATTACCAGAGCTGAAGCACTGTTCTTTTTCTTAGTTACAGGTAGAGGACAACCTGGTAAACAACTATTTTCATTCTTGCACATAATAATATAAAGTGGTGATCTATCACCATATTATAGAAGATAACTTGTCAGATGTAGGGACAGAAACATCTGGATGTTTAAGAAATACACTTTTGTACCTAGAGCTTACCACCAGCACTAACTGGTTAACTATACTACTTAGATTTTAGCTTTCATTTGCAAGGTCTAACCTCAACAACTCAAAAATTAGGTACAGAGTTACATTTCTCAAACTAACCTGGGAGCAGTGGACTGTAAAACACGAGTCTTGAAGAAGTGTTGGAAAGTCTGTATTTTCATTTCAGTAATATATTTTTTAAAAAAGTATATTCTGGATTACCACCATCAGTGGTATCAGAATTAGAGTGGGCTAAAGAAAAAGGCATATAAGGATCTTAAAAGGTAAATGATATATTTAAGCCATGTGGAAGTCAAACCACCTAACCGGTGATTTAAGAAGGAATGTTCTGTGACACTCAAACTCAGAAAATAGTGTAGGAGTTGAGTTATCATATGATACACAGCATGGGGCTTCCCAGGGGGCTCAGTGGTAAAGAATCTGCCTGCCAATGCAGGAGATGCGGTTCAATCACGGGTCAGGAAGATCCCCTGGACTAGAACCTGACAACCCCCTGTGTATTCTTGCCTGGAGAATTCCATGGACAGAGGAGCCTGGCGAACTACAGTCCATGGGGTCCCAAAGAGTGACACGACTGAGTGACTGGGCCCGCACACCCACACACAGAATATAGAAAGCTCCACGTCTAGTTAAGGCAGACAATGGCATATTGACTACGCAAGCAAAGCTTCCATTTCATCAAAATATCATTCATTACCCTAAATTTTACTGGCTCTACAGTTTTGTTTATATTTCATTTATACTTCCCTAAAAGCAGTAAGCATAAAGAATTTATATACATCTAAAAATTAAGTATTTTAATACAGTGAAACTATTTAGGCCAATCCTGACAATACACAATATTTTTTCCCTTTAAAGGGGGACTGTATATCATTCATGCTTTAAGACTAACATGGAGGAAAAAACATAGAGATTCAAATCAGAAAGATGTGTTTCCAAATCTTGACTCTCCTCATTGCTTATCATGCAGCCCTAAGCACTAATCTCTCTAAGCCCCAGTTTACTAGCAGTTACTGTGAAGACAGTTATGTGGTATGCTAAAGCGCAAATGAAAATTCTTCTCTTCTTTCTCTATCTAAATTAGCTTCTCCTGATTTCTCTATTTTGTTTAATTTTTATAATTTCGGGGTGTGCACAAATGGCATGTGGGATCTCAGTTCACTGACAAGAGATTGAACTGGGGCCCTGGGCAGTGACAGCTCGGAGTCCCAACCACTGGACCACCAGGGAATCCCCTCCCCATAGAATTTTTAATCCGTCATATATCATGCAGATTACACCTTCACAATATCTCCTCCCCACTGCAACCAAGAGTTTTTAAATCTCTGAAGCTCAGAGCCAACTACAGTAGTTTCTACCTTTATCTTCTCTTACCTGCGACACATCCCACAGAAAAAGCCACAGGACTGATCTCACCCGAGTGCACCTCTGAGGCCGTCACTATCCTACTCAAACGTGTTCTGTAACCCTCAAGGCCTTCTGCATTAAGGCCCTACCCAACCTACCCTTCCAATGTTACCTCCACCAATTCCAAAAGGGAAAGTTTCCTGGAGGAGGAATGGCAGACTACTCCAGTATTCGTGCCATGAGAACCCCACGAACAGTCTGCAAAGGCCAAGATACTGAGGCGTCTCCAAGCCCCAGCACAGTACGTGACACACAGTAGATACCCAATAGTAACATTCGGAAACAAAAGTAGTGGGACTCTGCAATGCGCCTCTCCACCAAAAAGGCACCCGACTAACTCCACCCGCCTAACTCTTCACTGCTTTCTAACACACTTATAACCATTAATAGGCAACTCTTTCAGCAATCACCTGAAAACTGGTTTTTAAAGACAATCACAAGGAATCACAGAAAGACGATGGCAACGGGTGACTTAAGAAACAGAAAAGCCCATGAGTGAGCCTACTTCTTTATCCGGCCTCCCTGGGGCCCATCGGGTGAAGACTCCACCTGCAGTGCGGGAGACCTGGGTTCCATCCCTGGGTTGGGAAGATCCCCTGGAGGAGGAAACAGCTACCCACTCCAGTGTTCCGGCCTGGAGAATTCCAGGGACTGTATAGTCCATGGGGCTGGAGAGTGGGGGACACGGCTGAGTGCCTTGCACTTATTTTTATTTTTAAAACTCTCAGTACTGACTTAGCAGCTGAGTTAGCAGAGACCAAACAACTGCAATGTAAGAGCTATAAGAAATAACAACAATCAAATTCCTACTGTATAAAACATCAGGAAAAAACTATTTTAAAAACTCATTAACTAAAACCTCTGAGCACCTCTTAGTTATTTAAAAAAATACCTTTGGTCTCTCAGTCCTCTAGTGAATAAATGTGGACATACAATGCGCAAGCTATACACACACATACACACAAAATATTTCCTCTCTGAATAAAACACACAAAGAATAAAACTGTATGACATGCTATGACATCATCTCTTTGTAGGAAACTTGGATATGGAAAACCATTGCTAATCATAAACACTACTAGGAGACATTTCTTAAACATTCATCTCTCTGTTCACTCATATACTCAACCTTCAACTAACCCACCCTACCACTACAAAAGCTGGGGGGAAAAAAATCAGAGGGCCCCAAATCAATGTACAGAAATGTGATTCACATGTAACTTTTCAGTAACACTATTGTTGGGGATCTACAGCACAATCTAAAACATACATGGATCTTTAGGCAACCTAACCAAACCAGACTGTGGCTGTCAAAAGCTCAATCAGCCCAAATTCTCCAGCTCTTGAAACAAAGGGCTAAAAAGTCCAGCAGGTTAAATAAAACAGAGGTCTCAATTTGTCTTTAACCAACTCAAAATTTGACTCCTATCAAGTGTGAGCATCAAGTCATCACAACTTCCTTCTTAACAATGAAGGCAAAACTTGTGAACCAAAATAGGGCTGGCAAAGCTGTATTTCACTTGGATCATAAAATCTACTGTAAAACCTTCCATAACTTTACTCTCTGAATTCCTGAAATGGATGAGAGGCAGGGAAACACATGGATATCAGATATGACTGACAGTATCTCAATTGTCATCTGCCGATGGCAGGGGCCAAGGAGTCCTCTATAGATAACAGAGCCATCAAAGAAAGAGACAACATTTTCAGTGATTACAGAACTGGTCCACGGGCTCACAAAAGGTGAACATCCACACCCCAACAAGTTACAGACTATGATCTAAGACCCAGAGCTTAAATGCCGAATAAAATGCCAACCTTCGGCCTCCCTAAAGAAACGTACAACCCCATAAACTGCTGGACATCATCAAACCAACACCCGCCGGAGTGGATATTTTGAACATTCAATCAGGAAACCAGGATAACTGCTAGCGGTTCCTCTAGGCCTCAGTAGCAGCCTTGGGTATAAGAGCAAACTCGAGTCCTCTTAACACTCAAAAGAATAATGTTGATGTCATGACGAGGCTGCTGATCCTCTGCACTCTGAACTAGCCCTTCCTTGATCCGCCGGGCGATCCTTCGCCCACCCGCCCCCTCCCCACAAATAAAGCGACCTCGCAACGGAGCAGCCCTCGGGTAGCCCCTGGCTCCTCTACCTCCGGCGGCGGCCGCTTTCTCCTCCCTCCGGCTCCGAGGTGGGGGCTCCAGAAGGTCCCGGGCAATCCTGAGCCCGGGCGGTGCTGCTTTTGCGTGTGCACGGTGGCTCCGGCCAGCCGCTTCCTCCCCTCGTCTGCCGGACCTGGAACGCTACTGGGGAACCCGGGGGCCGCGGACGGAGTCCCGGGTGGCGACGCCGCCGCGGCCGCCGCCTCTGGTATGTCAGGGGCCGGGATTGTATTTCGAAAGATCCGCCATTTTCACCTCGTCATCACCATCACAGCTCAGCAGCTTCCCCGACAGCCCGAGCCCGGGCCGCCGCCGCCGCCGCCGCCGCCAGTAACCTCCCCCTTCCTCCTCCTCCCCTCCCCGGCCCTCCCCTCCGGAGAGGTGCACACCCACATATCCGGGGAAACCTCCCGCCGGCCCCGCCAACCTTCAAATGCTCGGGGAGACACCACTGCACACAGAGCCCACGCCGAGACCTTTCACCCCGCCACGGAGGGGAAATCGCGCTACCTGCAGAGTCCCCAGACCGGCACACTTTTGTTTTGAAGAGCAAAAGAAAAAAAAAAAGCGGAAAGGGGCAGAGGGACCACCAAGAGCTTCCACTCTTTGCCACTTTCAGGACCGCAACTTGAGAGAAAGATGATGGAATGCCTTTGATGCGCTGTGTCCATCGCAGACACGAAAAACAACAACAGGATCAAGACCTGGAATGTCATTCACCAGCTCTGACATTTTCCTCCACCGCCAGCACCGCTTTTGACAGAATGGGCTGTTTCCCACCGCACTTCAGACCTCTCTGACACATAGTAAATTTACAGGCATTGATTCTCATGCAGATACTGTGGTCAAGACGTCTAAGTTTTCAAAATAAAAGTTCCGAACTGTTTCCTCTTAACTTCCTCTGATCCTTTCTGTCCATAAACACTGTGACTTCCAGTTCGTTTGTCATTGGTTTAAGACATCAAAGAGCAACTAGGTTTAACATGTACGGATCCTACTCATGAGTGAACAATATCTAAAATACAGAAAATATAACTCGGAGTTAAAATTTTTTTTGCCAAACGTTTTTAGAATCTAAGTCATCAAATTAAAAAAAAAATCTGCCGCTGAAATTTTTGATAGTGAAAATAAGCAGCGTGCTTTAGAAAAGACCCTAGAATTACCTACTCAGCATCACCAGCGTCTCTCATCATGTAGTTTAATAAACAACTAGAAGAGAAGATAGGCATGTTTTAATCATCAAAGAAATAACAAGAAAACATAAGCTGCATGGCTTCTGAAAGGAATAAAATTTTTCTAAAACTAAATTGGCTACCTTTGCTAATTTCAGATTTGATAACCACCCATTTTTTAAAAGGTGAATTCTGTGCCCAGCATTCAACTACAGCATAAGCTCTAAATGATCTGTCTGAAATGAATTTCCAGGTTTCGAACAGAGCCACTCTACTGTCTTTTTTTAGAAGTTAGTTTAAGAAGAGAAGGGTAGAAGCTGAACAAGGCATTTCATTTCCTTACCTGGCTTGAATGACAACTCCATAGAAAAGTCGATAGCTTCAGGCTTAAACAAGTGCTATCATCACCCAGCCCAGTCGCCGTTTTCTATATGCAGCTGGCTAGACGCTGAGAGTATCCAGCCTTCCCAATTTTTTCATCTGTAAACTTTACTTCCCCACCGCCAGCCCCGGCCACCCGCACTCCGCTTGGTGCTTACCGTTGCTTGGCCAAGCTAAGTGCTGGCCCGCTCCCTACCCCGTGCACTCGGGAACATTATGACA